AGTATTTTATTTGTGAAGTTTTTAGTAGTTTTACAAAAAAATCTACTTAGCTATCTGTCTGTCTATCCATCCATGCTCCCACCCCCCACATAATACGAACCATCTAATATATTTTGGACATTAAATATACTTTCCGTAAAATGATCTGAAAACAGTGAAAGGTGATTTGAATATTCTTTCTGCATGTTAGCAGGTGCTGTTCCTTAATTCAGCATCCTTTGAGGTAAATTTCTAATATCCCTTCTGCCAGGAGCCTTTGTTGACTTCCCAGGTATGTGTGATTCCCCAGTTGTAAATTGCATCTTTCATATGGGTCTTATCATGATACACTGCTTAGTATGTTTTTCTTGTAGCCTTTATCCTCAATTAATTCACTGCCTTCTTGAGGGAAAAAAAATATTATTTCCTTCATTATCCCCATAGCAAAAATCTCATCAGTGGTCAGTCAATAAATATTTGCTAATGAATTTTTTCAGAAATGAGTATGGTAGCAGTTTGATAATGTATGCACAATGTGTCAACCTAGAGTTCAATTTAAAACATATTCAAACCTTAATGTACAGGCACTAATGAAATATATGGGCATAGATTATTGTAGAGTCACAGAGTTTCAGCCTTGGCTGACTTCTCATAAATTATCAAGTCCAAGTCTATTACTTTTACATAAGGAAATCAGTCTTCTCTAGGCACTAAACTACCAGAGTAAGAGAACCAATTACTTAAGTATTTCATTTTATGAAAAAGCAGTAATTTTAGTTATCTGCACAGCTTTTGTAGCACCTGGTTCATACACAACAGGCACCCAAACGTAGATTGAATGGATTGCTTAATGGAAATGGAATCCACTAACTGGATATTTAGATCTAGATGATGTATAGAGCCAGAGTTCGTGCTGTCAGCTTTTCACAAGCTCTGCAAGGGGTGCCACCACTTATGGCTGCGCCTCTAACACATTTTGCTGGGTCTCTCTTGCTTGAGATACAAGTCTTGTTTCCCATTCATTTTAGATGTTCAATGAGCAGCTGTCTAAGCATATAGATACCAGCTCTTCTTTTTAGTTACAACTATAATCCCTAAAATCCTAATTATTGATAGACTGTATTCTTGCTGAATCTGTAATCATACCCGCCCTTCAAAAAGAGAAGATATACGTCTTTCCTTTCCAGGAACCAAGGATGACTCAGATCATGTGGTCTGGAAAAAAGAGAACAGTAGAACAGGAAAATTTTCTCTTGGCCAGTTCCTAGGAGTGACTCCGCAGTCTCCATCTAGATCACAGGGACTGAATTTACTCACTCTCACTCATATTTTTCCAAGTCTTAGAAGCAAAAGGAGATACTGGAGATAGTGTCCTTACCTCCCATTAGCTAAGTTCCCCAGTTATAAAGCAGAGGTTGAAGGAGACAAAACCTGAGGACCTCCGGCAGCAAGAGTTCGAATCAGCGTAAGCCAAGCACCGTGGTTTGGCTTCCTTCTCCTGGCTGCATGCTAAAGCCTTGACCTTCAGAAACGGTGTTCCTGGAACACAGATTCACTCAGAGGAAAGATAAAACAGAATTGATTTTAGAAATTTCCAATCTAACTTTGCTATTTTCAAATAAGAAAGTTGAGAGTCAGAGAAGTCACATTGAAGGTGAATCAACTGGATCAGACAGTGACAGGTCTGGGACTAGAATGGGCCTTGCTATCTTTTTCACGGCAGCTGGCATTTTCTACCTTTCTTCCTCTTACTCCTATCTGGTATTTGCGGTGAGCTCCTGCACATGTACACGAGCCGTCTTGCATCCAAGCCTCTCACTTTCCTGAGTTCTTCCTGACTCAGGGACTTTTCCTCCGATCCCACGTCCATCAGCCCCTCTGACCTGTCTTAGTCTTGGAGGACAGCCATCACTTTTCTCTTGTTTATTTCCTCTTCTTTCTTCTTGTCCTTCATGGTATAGGGGCTCCTGTTCACTCTATGCCTCTGTTTCCTCCTTCTCAGTCCCCCTCTGCTCCCTGACTTCCCTGCTCAGGTTCAATTCCAGGATCTCTCTAGTTACCCGCTCTTTTTTACTATGTCCTCAACTCTACTTATTGGTTGTGTTTGATTTATTTGGCAACAATCCAACCAATAAAATCTGATGGGGAGAACCCCACAACTATGCTGGCTGACGCCTCCATAACAGCGGTTCTCACAGAGCTCCCCACACTGCCAAGAGCAGCATGAGGTGGGAGCCTGTTAGAAACCTGAGTTCCCAGACACACTCAGCGAACCGAATCAGAGCTGCTTGGAAGGGGACACGGCAATCTGCATTTTTAACAATCTGAAATGGGAGTTAACAAGCTCCAGGTACTTCTGATACACCTTAAAGTTTGCACAATACTACTCTAATTCTTGGTCTTTACGCTCAGCTAGCTATGAACATTAACCATCAGTCTTTATATATTTTCAAATTAGTGGTCTTCTATGCTTTTCATATTAGCTTCTTCAAATCTTCTCAATGCTCCTCAAATCTATGATAACGCCCATCTCTCCTCATTCTGTGGAAACAGTGACAGGCCTTATTTTCTTGGTCTCTAAGATCACTGTGGATGGTGGCTGCAGCCACAAAATTCAAAGACTCTCGCTCCTTGAAGCAAAGCTATGACCAACCTAGACAGCATAGTAATAAGCAGAGACATCACTTTGCTGACAAAGGTCCATGTAGTCAAAGCTATGCTTTTTCCAGTGGTCATGTACGGATGTGAGAGCTGGACTATAAAGAAGCCTGAGCGCTGAAGAACTGATGCTTTTCAACTGTGTGCTGGAGAAGACTCTTGCGAGTCTCTTGGGCTGCAAAGAGATCAAACCAGTCAATCCTAAAAGAACTGAACCCTGAACATTCATCAGAAGGACTGAAGCTGAAGCTGAAACTCCAATACTTTGGCCACCTGATGTGAAAAGCCAGCTCATTTGAAAAGACCCTGATGCTGGGAAAGATTGAGATCAGGAGGAGAAGGGGACAAAAAAGAATGAAAAGATTGAATGTCATCGCTGACTCAATGGCCATGAGTTTGAGCACAGGCAGGGAGACAGTGAAGGTCAGGGAAGCCCAGCATGCTGCGGTCCATGGGATCACAGAGTTGGATACAGTTTAGCGACTGAACAGCAACTCAGGCTTCAGAGATGATCACCCTCTGATTTATCGTTCATGCTTGAGCTCCCTTAAGGACCTGCCACCACATTCCCAGACTTAATGCAGTTTGCTGCAATGAACCAGTGTCTCTCTCCATGTCGAAGGTCAGCCTATACACACATCTACATCCTAAATTCCTTTCCTATCAGTACCAGGGACTTTCTCCATTTTTCCTCACCAAGTTCTCTCTCTCTCTCTCCTGGCCTCTTCCACCCAACCTCATCATAATTTAAATTCACACACTTGGGGATTTTGATTCGAAATATGATAAAAAGCACTGTAGATGTTTCAGCAAAGGAGCAGCATTGTCTGGGTTACAGTTTAAAATGACTTTTATCCTTCATGTGCAGAGAGTGGATTGCATGGGCTGAAGCAAAAAGATCAGTTTAGCTGTACTGGAGATGTAACTAGCTTTGGGCCATGATTTGGAGGTAGAATTAATGGGGATAGGTGGAACAAATCAAAAGCAATCTCAGTCTTTTTGGTTTTTAACAGCTGTGTGGATGATGATGCTATTTATGAGAATGAGGAAGACTGGAAAAGAATAAGATGGCCGGAAAAATCAAGAATGTTTCTGGCATGTTAAGTTTCAACTGCTCATTGAACAGTTCTGAGGAGATAGGCATCTACTCGAGTCTAGAATTCCTGGAAGACAAAAGAAGTAGAAATGTAGATTTAGAAATCATTGGCCTATGAATAATACTTAAAGCTCTGATATTTGATGAAGTTACACTGATAAAGTGCATAGAGAGAGAAGGTAACCCACTACAAAGCCCTGGGCTACTTCAGTTTTTAAAGTGGGGATGTGGAGGGAAAAGTTTCCAGCACAGATGAGTGAGAATGAGCAATTGGTGTTCTGAGAAATTCTCCTAAACAGTTTCCAGCCAAATTCCAGTGAGGGGTAAACTGAAATAAGAACAGAGCAGCAACCATTAGTAATGGCATTGTGCTCCACAAGAGCACTCACACTGAGATAGTGACAACAGAAGTCAGATTGGAATGGGTTGAGGAACTTGTGTTGGTGGATTAAAGTCCTGCCTGAGGAGAAGCAGAGAAACTCGTCAACCTTTCATTCTAGTCCCTGCTCAATAGATTCCAGAAATCAAAACAGTCCTAGAAATAGGTGCTTAAACCCTTCAAACTGAGGCAGACTTTTGTAGAAATAAGAATGGTTGTTAAAGGCTCCTCTCTCAAAAGCTTAAATAAAGGTACCATGCAATTTAAACAGAGTTGGAATGCTAAAAAATCAATATAGAATTCCATACACGAAACAAGGACAGGGTAGTTACCATGCTAAAATAACAACCACAGCAAAATTACCTCAGCAACAGCAGGTATTAAAACAGATTGGAATTTGATATTACCTAGGATTAAGTCAAGTTTAATATAACCAGTCCATATATATTTGAGAGTTGGCAGCACACACACACAGATACACACAGACACACACACACTTGCCTTCTCATCATTTGTATTAGGCAGTCCCTTAAAGATAGCATATTTAATTTCATGGCTGATAAAATATGAGAAACAGCATCCTCGTCAGCATGTATTTACCAAGTGCCTGGTGTGTTTATACAGGAAAGAACATCGGGAAATGAGCAGCATAATTATTACAACATTGGGAAAATAAAACACGGAAGGAATCAGGTCTTAATCAAACCCACAGCTCGTAAGAGCTGGTCGTCAAGCCGCACAGGCACTTTAGATGATAAACTGGCCTCACGCTAAAGGGTGACCTGAGCGAAATGAGTGTCCGAAGCGCTGCTGAGCACGGAGCTGACACAGCCGTTCCTGCCCGGGGCCTCGCGTCTTCCAGTGGACGACTGTTTAATTGCCGGGATATCATACCCCTCTACGGCTCAGGCGTAATGGCACAGACGCAGGATTCCTGCTGTGATGAAGCACTTGACAACAGAACTTTTCATCTGAGATTGCAAATATGCCCAATTCTGACCTATCGTGTTCTTGTTCGTTCATTTCCCCCTCAAATTTTAAATTAGCAGAGATACATCGAGCACTGATTACGTGCTGAGCACTGCCCACGTTCGCCTGGAGCATGCACACGGGGAAGAAATAAGCCCCCGAGCGGTCACCCCCGCCTGAGAAGGAACGCGGGCGGCCACGCCGGCTCGGCCTCCTACCAGCTCGTGCGCGCCGTCCTCGTCGAAGTCCTCCTCCACGCCGTCGGTCAGCTCCTCCCCGTCGGCGTCCGGCGCCCCCTCTGCGGGCTCCTCCAACGACTGCTCTGCGTTCTCGGACACGCACTCGTCCTGGGTCAGCTCTAGGCTCGCTTCCAGCTGCTTCTTCTGAGCCTCTGCGGGGCGGGGAGAGAGCAAACGGCTGCTACCTTGGGGTGCTCACGCGCCATTTGGATAAGCCATGAAAAAGCAGTCTAGGAATGAATGGGCCAGCTCTGTACCGCGAAGGGTGTGAGGAAGACAGAAAGGCATGTTGAGGTCGACCTAACTCAGCTGTGTGAATTGTGTTCATATACAGGCATGTGCTTACGTGTAAGCATATCATGTGTTACAGAATTAGCAAAGTCTGGGGCATCCAGAGGGTCCGTGTATACAAAGAAACAAAGATGTACGTAAACAGATTGATCTTTCTGGCTGTATGCAGTCCTTTCTGATAAAGGCATTTTCTCTGAGGAGAAAATACAGCAACAAAAAAAGGGGAAATCGGATAAAACATAGAACTTGTTCACTCCAGGAAAGAGGATGAAGAAAGCTCATTGATGAGTTCAGGTCCGAGTGAAAAAGACAAAAATTCACTAGGGAAAAAGTGCGAAAGCAGGTATGTTGGCTGTCAGACAGCATGTCCATGTGACCAATCCTTTGATACTGTATTCTAAATTTTGTTGGTAGATGTGATTAACTGCGATGGTTAAAATTCGGGGGTTGGAGAGCCGGGTTCAAGGTCGAGCTTCATCACTTACCAGCTTTGGGGTTCTTAAATGATTAACTCTCTGTATGCCTCCATTTTCTCACCCACACAACTGGGATAGATACTGTTTCAAGTAGTGAATCCAAGCGCTTAGTATAGTGATTTGCAAATAGTAAGTGCTCAACAAATGAAACTACATTCTACATGAATAGAACTCTTTCTAATACCAGGGTGTGTGCATTCCATTCACAGAAATTTGCCCAAGTGGGAATTATGCAGACAACAAAATAATTATTTTCCCTAGTGGCTGGTTTGCATCTTTTGTGAAAATATCAACAAGCAATGAGTATTGAATAAATGAGATCGTTCTTAGGTACTTCCTTCTCTTATTCCCATGTGAACATAACTATCCCCAAAACTGGGTGCTTCTCACTCATTTTGACTATTATTATTTGGTCAGATGGTTACCCCATTATTTGCTTTGAGTTTTAAAAAGATGTTACATTTTGAGTGGGCTTATATTTTATAGCAGTAAGAATAGTTTATAGGGCCAAAATATTTTGGGGATATTCATTCCTGGACTCTTTCATAATATGAGTTAAAAAGAAATAAACATTGTCACATACATTTTGACTCAGCACAAATCTTTGCAAATATGTAAATCAATAAATGGATAAACTTTATGTACAAATAAGCAGAGATCTTCTATAAATAATTTAAAATTGCAATAATAGTTACTTATGAAATACAGGTGTAACATCAAGGAGATATTGTGGGTTCAGTTCGACCATTACAATAAAGTAAATATCAAAATAATGTGAGTCACAAGAATTTTTTGGTTTTCAGTACATATAAAAGCTATGTTTACACTATAGTCTGTTAAGGGGGCAATAGCATTATGTCTAAAAAACATACCTTAATGTCTAATGTACATACCTTAATTAAAAATACTTTATGGCTGAAAAATTGTAATCATCATCTGAACCTTCAGTGAGTCTTAATCATTTTGCTGGTGGAGGATTTAAATATTTCAAGAAACACCAAGATGAGACACAAAGGCATGAAGTGAACAAATGCCATTGGAGAAATAGTGATGATGCCTCTAAATGAGCTCTTGCATTTTAAATCTTCAAGTAATAAAGTATATGTGTTGAAAACAAGACAGAAGCATTGTGCCCTGGCCCTAATGCAGAGGCCAGACTGCTAGTTCCAGCTTAGTTACTCACCAGTGGATTTATACACAGAGGATTGGGTCTGTTTTGGCTACTTGGTCAGGCCATACAAACATATTAAGCTGACCTTTCCTTAAGTACAAAAAACCTTTCAAAATAATATGTAGATGAGGAAGATTAACAAAGTTTATATTTGGGAAGTGTTTTGCAGACTGTGGAGGACAATATAAATGTGTATTGTTACATACAAAAGGGTTACATGTACTTCCTTGCGAATATGTCAAGATAACAATAACAAAATCAACAAGTCTGAAACAAGAAGCCTGATAAGATCAGAGAATGACAGTGAAAAAAACCTGTGGAACTGAGGTTATTCAAAAGAAAAGAGCTGACATATTCGACCAAGGCTAAAAATAATTAGAGGCATTTTAAAATGACAAAACCTTGATACTTTCTCTTCACATTTAGTTTACATGTATAGATGCAGACTATATATTCCTTGATAGATTTTTAAATCAATTTTCTAGCTTCAGATTTTTCCATGTAACAAAGTAATGATGTAAACTCTGCTTTAAAAGCTATACATTTTATCTTCATGTGCATACCTGAATGTTCTGATGGAAGCAAGAGGCATAAATTCTCCCCTTTTCTCTGACATCTAAATAAATTTTACATAGAAAGTCCTATGATCACTACAAAGTGGTTACTGTTAGAGGTTTTTTTTTTTCCCCTAAATCTAGAAAATTATTTATTATTTTATTTCCAAATAGGGAAATAGGTTAAAGAAAAAAAGTTTAATGTAGAGAAAATAACCTAAATATCTGGATTAAAAGGAAGGCAAATCAGGCAAGAGAAACAACCAAAACCACAGTGAACTTAACTATTACTGAAAATTGCGAATTTTTATCCATCTCATCTCTCTTCACATATCATTGCTTTCTGCAGTTCCAGACCTTCAACTTAGGCTGACCAAGCTACACACATGACTAGTAAGTACTTGCTGAGAAAAAACTGTGATGAAAAACAGACTTACCATATAATCCACTCCTGATTATATATGTAATCCCACTCCTGAACATATATCCAGAAAAGATGAAAACTCTATTTGGAAATGATACATGCACCCCAACGTTCACAGCAGCCTTACTTTCAATAACCAAGATATGAAAGCAGCGTAAGTGTCCATCAACAAATGAATGGATGAAGAAGATATGTCACACACACACACACACACACACACACAATGCAATATACTCAACCATAAAAAGAATGAAATAATGCCATGTGAAGCAACATGGATGGACCTAGAGATGATCAGACTAAGTGATGCAAGTCAGATAAAGACAAATACCATACTATATCACTTATAGTTCGAATCTAAAAACAGTGCAGAGGAACTTATGTATTGGGTTAGACAAAAAGTTTGCTCAGGTTTTCCAGTAACATCTTATGGAAAAACCTGAACTTTCTGTCCAACCCAATACAACAGAGAAACAAACTCACAGACAGAAAAACCTGTGGTCACCAGAAGGGAAGGGAGGGGAGGGATACATCAGGAGTGGGGGATTAGCAGATATAAGTTGTCACATTTAAAACAGGTAAGCAACCAGGATTTACTGCATAGCACAGAGGACTACATTCAATATCTGGCAATAACCTACAATGGGAAAGAATAGAAAAAAAAAGTATGAATCATTTTTCTGTACACCTGGAACTAACACAATATTGAAAATAAACTATATTTAAAATTTTAAAAAAAGCTATGACGGGCAGACTAGTGAGTGCATTGAAAAGCTTGGAATCCTCGGGCATCAATCATGTCATGCGCTCCACTCTGCTGCGTCTATATCACTGATCCCTTGGATGGCACATGGATTTGCTACTCTGGTCTGATCTTCTACTCTTTCTCCTAAGTTTATACTTATCACTTGATGCCCTTACTTCTAGCCACTTTGGGTCACTACGTTGCTTGCTCAAATGCTCTGGCTCTCAAATCCTGTAGTTGGCATTTTAAGATCAAAAGGAGAGAAAAAAAAAAAAAGAAAATGAAGGTTTGGGATTGGATAACTATCATTTTATTAAAAAATGTTCCCAATCTTACAATTTTTCCAACTGTCAAACTTTCTTATTTTAAATCATTGTGTTTATTCTTTTGTTATCATACATAAATGGGCTTCTGTTGAAATTCACATTGTATTGGGAATTCATCTGACCTGGCATCTCTGTTTCTTCTTTAATGATATCAGGAATATTGGTTCTTTAAGGATTCCCACTTTTTGATATTGGAAGTTTATATATATATAACCACCTTCCTCCCAAAAATCTCTGGTCACAGAATCTATGCAGGAGCAGATCTTGGAGCTGTGTAGTTCTCATTTGGCTTACATAACAATATGATTCAGTTATCTTTGGAATCCAAGCTGACTTTCCTGATCTTCTTAGCTGAATACAATCCCTTCTCCTTTCATTAACCAAAGCTTGGATCAAATAGTTCTCCTGTTGTCCTCTCCTTTTCTCATTAGTGTTTAAGCTTCCTTGAAACTTGAGCTATTGCTTCAAAAGGTCATTGTCACACTCTAAGCGGATAATAAAGATATCGATCTTTTGTAAAGTGAAAAATGCAATACAAGTCAGTTATCAAGAAATATTCTGATGTGCTCTGAATGCCTCACACACAGATGAGAGAAGGTATTAGAGAGAATATAGGATTTGAGATCCACACTTTTGCTAATTACTAGTTCTAGTAATTGTAATTTTCTTTTCTGAAAGATGAGCATAAAAATAACATCTTTCAGAAGGTCTCAGTGTACTGAAATGAGGAAAAAGAAGTGAATATGTTTTTAAATAAAGGCCACACAAACATGTTACCTTAAGAGGTTCCAAATAATTATTGAGTTGAATCTGTATTGATTGCCTAATGGCTACAGATAAACTGTCCATGGCAAAATAATTCATCACTACAGATCATTAAGAATTATATATTACAAAGACAATTTTGGCTTTGACATGGTCCCTTAATTTCTGTTTAGACAGACTATGTTTTAAGTTACTCTGTTTTGTGTGTTAATATGCAACATACCAGTAACTCCTCTGATTACCTATTTCAAAGGTAGTTGTGCATTTATATAGCTTATTGCAAAAAACCCTATAACATTCTCATTCATCCACTCATTAATTTGAAAGCTAAATGAATGGGAGATATTATCTGAGTTGAGAAAAAAGGCTTAATTGATTCATAGGAGTTTAACAGAAATAT